GTGTTCATGTCCAGTGGTCGGTCATTTTGGGGATGTAGTGTTCTATGTACAAAGTGTAATATCATTGTATTATAATGGTGTCCAGTGGTTGGTCATGTTGGGGATGTAGAGTTCATGTCCAGTGGTCGGTCATGTTGGGGATGTAGTGTTCTATGTACAGAGTGTAATATCATTGTATTATGATCATGTCCAGTGGTCGGCCATGTTGGGGGTGTAGTGTTATATGTACTACTTAGTTCTCCGGCATACTCAGAGGAGAAATTCTCAGAGGAGAGAGTTCTCCTCTGAATGCCTTTTTATAAAATGGTGTAGATCACTTCTCCAAATAAAGGGAGAAGCGATCTACAAACGCTTTGAACGCTGGAAAACAGCTTCTGTTACTATAATCTCGTGAGATTACAGTAAGAGATCAGTCAAACACCGTTTACTAAGCAGCAGTAAATTACCGCTGCTTCATTTGTGGTTCCTCCGATTCTCCAGTTCTGGGCTGGAGAATCTGGAGGGAGAACATAGACTGCCAGTGAAGGGCTGACTTCATACACTGGCCATTTGTGTGTTGAGATGATGTATTATGATGGTGTCAGTGGTCGGTCATGTTAGAGGTGTAGTGTTCTATGTATAGAGTGTAGCAGAATTGTATTATGGTCATGTCCAGTGGTTGGTCATGTTGGGGGTGTAGTGTTCTATGTATAGAGTATAATAGAATTGTATTATGATGGTGACCAGTGGTCTGTCATATTGGGGGTGTAGTGTTCTATGTATAGAGTATAATAGAATTGGATTATGATGGTGTCCAGTGGTCTGTCATATTGGGAGTGTAGTGTTCTACGTATAGATGTAGTAGAATGGTATTATGGTCATGTCCAGTGGTTGGTCATGTTGGGGGTTGTAGTGTTCTATGTATAGAGTGTAGTAGAATTGTATTATGATCATGTCCAGTGATCAGTCATGTTGGGGGTGTAGTGTTCTATGTATAGCATGTAATAGAATTGTATTATGGTCATGTCCCGTGGTGGGTCATGTTGGGGGTGTAGTGTTCTATGTATAGAGTGTAATAGAATTGTATTATGGTCATGTCCCGTGGTGGGTCATGTTGGGGGTGTAGTGTTCTATGTATAGAGTGTAATAGATTTGTATTATGATGGTGTCCCGTGGTCGGTCATGTTGGTGGTGTAGTGTTCTATGTATAGAGTGTAATAGAATTGTATTATGATCATGTCGAGTGGTGGGTCATGTTGGGGGTGTAGTGTTCTATGTATAGAGTGTAATAGAATTGAATTATGGTCATATCCCGTGGTGGGTCATGTTGGGGGTGTAGTGTTCTATGTATAGAGTGTAATAGAATTGTATTATGATGGTGTCCAGTGGTGGGTCATGTTGGGGGTGTAGTGTTCTATGTATAGAGTGTAATAGAATTGTATTATTGTCATGTCCAGTGGTCGGCCATGTTGGGGGTGTAGTGTTCTATTTATAGAATGTAATAGAATTGTATTATGATGGTTTCAGTGGTTGGTCATGTTGGGGGTGTAGTGTGCTATGTATAGAGTCTAGTAGAAATGTATTATGGTTATGTCCACTGGTCGGTCATGTTGAAGGTATAAGGTTCTATATATATAGCGGGTAATAGAATTGTGTTGTGATCATGTTTGTTGGTTTGGTCATGTTGGAGGTGTAAGGTTCTATATATAGCGGGTAATAGAATTTTGTTGGTTTGGTCATGTTGGAGGTGTAAGGTTTATATTGGGGTAATTGGTTGCGATCATGTTTGTTGGTTTGGAGTTGGAGGTAAGGTTCTATATATAGCGGGTAATAGAATTGTGTTGTGATCATGTTTGTTGGTTTGGTCATGTTGGAGGTGTAAGGTTCTATATATAGCGGGTAATAGAATTGTGTTGCGATCATGTTTGTTGGTTTGGTCATGTTGGAGGTGTAAGGTTCTATATATAGCGGGTAATAGAATTGTGTTGTGATCATGTTTGTTGGTTTGGTCATGTTGGAGGTGTAAGGTTCTATATATAGCGGGTAATAGAATTGTGTTGCGATTAAGTTTGTTGGTTTGGTCATGTTGGGGTGGCCACCTGTATTTTGCAAATGTGAAGAGATTAGGAAAATGCTTTTTAAATACAATTTTTTTTTTTGCATCATAACACCAGAATTTCTGTGTCAGTGCCAAATACCTATCAGAGGTAAATACATCCCACATTCAATATATTGGAACCAAAGATTCACACACATTATGCGTTGCAGATGCTCAAAAAGTGTTGGAGAAGTAACATTAATGATATTTCTGTACCCTGGAGCAGAAATACAAATCAGCTCCCATATACAGTATTTGATCTGTGTGTTTATCCCGTGCCCAGCGGCAACCTCCTGTGTTCAGAATGTAGCAGGACAGTTGCTCGGCACAGTACTGGGAAACTATTGGAGATCGCTGGAGTAGCTGTTTCTACTTCAGTGATTTCCAGCTTCTACAAGGTATGGCATGTACATAGGTACATTGATCCAAGCTGGACGTAGTGTTTATCAAAATATCCATACCTTTTTCTTTAGGTAAACTACCCTGCCCAATTTAACTTTTTTTCATTCCAGTTAGCATGAAATATAACCTCAGATGGCAAGTGTTATCCCCAGCAATCCCAAGCCATGGGAAACCGCCAGAGGATCAGGGACAGCTAGCAAAATTTAAATTCAAGATTGTTACTTCACCGTAACCAAACTGCAATCTGCTACAAAGACAAATTAGCAGTTGGATACATTTCTCCAAAAACCTATTACAAGTAAATTACCTGATCAATCCATTTTCTGCATTGGGATTAATCAGATGTCCATTTGGGTTGGCTGAACTTCTATAAATGTCACATTCGTGATTAAGATCTGAACTAAAATGGGATTGATGAATAACAAACTCTTGGTAATGATCCAGCGAGAGATTTACAATCTCAGATAAAATACTTAAAGACTGAAAGGCGGATTTCAGTAGCTCCTACTAAGAAAACTGAACTCAAGACCATGGGAAGGAAGTGATTAGTTGCAAATAGAAAATTTTAGGATATAGGAATGTCTCGACTTGTGGAACAATCAATTAACATCCTGAAGGACTTTACTTTAGCTCACACAAGCCTCTACCAGCATTGGTTGTACCATACAAACATCCCTTGTACAACCATTTGAGAATTTGACCCGGCACCTGTAGTGATGATACCAGGGGCGGACTGACCATTTGGAAACTCGGGCACTGCCCAAGGGCCCGGGGTCAGTAGGGGGCCCCATGAGATGCCCCTGGTACCTTTTTCATAGGCGTTTTTAAGTTTGGGCAAGGGCACAGGGGCCCCATGATCCCCTATTGCCTGGGAGCCCCCTGAGTTGTCAGTCCGTATCACCCATGAGTTGGATGATACTATTTGACCTCTTCAGAACTCTGTTAGTTGCCCCACATTAACCTTGTATGGCCTACGTATGTGTTTGTAATGGTGATTTAGTTGCTTTTAAGTTAGAATACTCTTTCATATGGTGTTTCTTTATTTTTGTCCTCAGGCTGTATTGCTATTGATTTATAGCATAGTTACATTGGTGCAGTTTGGTACAATGTAAATAGACATATGTTATACCTGAGGGTCCCCCATTGTACACTGACCTTAGGGGGTTGCTTGCTCTACACTGCTGCCATTGAAAGACTGACTTTTATTTTTTCAATTAATACAAGGCATCCTCTGATTAAACGAGGTGGAGAGGAAGGGCGTCAATGTCATGATCTTCACCTTGTCAAATCAGTGAATGCCTTTATTCACTGAAATAAATGCATTGTATAAATGTCACTAGTTCCTAGAGAACGACCCCATGTGATTACTATGGAGAAGGGCAGCCTCTCAGCACAGGACCCAGAAGATCGCTGCGATCACTGTAGTAGCATCAACTACAACAGTGACTTCAACTACAACAGTGACTTCAACTACAACAGTCAGCTTCCCCCACAAGATCTTTCCTGGAGTTTAGCTGTAAAGTGGAATTCCTGCTTCCCACTAACTATTCTTAAAAATTACTCCCTTCCCCTTCTACAACCTGTCCTGTCTACCTAATGGGACAAAGATGTGCATACTTACCTTTTTTCAGACCGCTCCTGTCTGGTCACATGATTCCGGCTCCACTATATCAGTGAGCAATGGGTGCAGGGGAGAGGAGGAAGCACAGACATCGGCTGGGCTATGGGCGTCAATAGGTGACGTAGCTGCTCCCAGAATTCTGAATGCTCCCTGATAGCAGGAACTGCTGTATCACATGACTGGAGTGGACTGAAAAAAAAATAAGTATACAGTATACAAGTAATTACACTTTCCTATATAGGGTAGACAGGATAGGTTGTAGGAGAGGGAAGGGGATTTCTTAAGAATAATTAGTGATAGGCAAGAATTCCACTTTAAAGTGGTTGTAAACTCTTACATATACCAAGTGAAATGACTGGCCTCAGGTGATACACAAAGATGGGGCAAATCCTCTTAGTTGAAACCTGTTTATCTGCAGCCCTCTTTTCTCTACATCCATTCAGAGTCTAGAATTTATAAAGCTTGCCTGCGCTTCAAGAAAGCAGGGGGCGGGGAGCTGAAATTACACACTGCAGAGCTCAGTGAAGAGAACTCTGATAGCTGATTGGAGGAAAGGAACAAAGCACACAGAAACAGAGATGAGGCTGTCAATCACAGGCTGTGTGCTGGAGCTCCCTCCCCTGTCATCATTTTTTTCTCTTGGTGTCAGGTACACTTGTCAGAAGTGACCCAGACAGATAGCAGAGGAACAAGGCAGCAAATAGAAACGTTGGGCTGAGACAAGTACACACTATAGAGGGATATGCTGTGTTCATATATCATGTCTGAGGATTTACCACCACTTTAAGTTGATATATATTTTTAATTGCAAGTCTCCATTAATGCTCTTCTTATGGATATGCATGCTTCCTGTGTTTTACTTTAATTATACATTTATTTTTTTGTTTGCAGGCTGATAAAATGTCTGGACAAGAACTTAACCTGGGAGAGGGGAAGCCGCTCTTGGTGGAAGAGGTATTCTTTAAATATTTATTTGGGAGTCAGGGGTTGGAATCTCAAGTCTTCTAAAAAGTGCATTTTGGAGCTGATTTACTAAAGGGGTAGGGTGTAGCGTTACAAAATTTAGGTCACACGTAATTTTATGGATGTTTTGTTACATACATTGACTGCAATGTATAGCAATGCACTATACTGTACATTATTATTATTATTATTATTATACAGTATTTATAAATCGCCAATAGTTCGCTCAGCGCTGTACATTACAAAGGGGGACAGAACATGTGACAGAACAATACCAATACAATGCAAAACATGAGGGGATCGAGGACCCTGCTCTTTCGAGCTTACAATCTAGGAGGGAGGGGATGGTGGCACAGGAGGAGATAGCTGTGGGGGATGGAGAGGTAGGAAGAGTGGAGGAGGTCGGCAAGTTAGCAGGGGGTGGGGTAGGCTTCCCTGAAGAGATGGGTTTTTCAGGGTGCACCTAAAGGAGAGGAGAGTAGGTGATAATCTGATGGGTTGGGGCAGGGAGTTCCAGAGGATGGGTGACACCCTGGAGAAGTCCTGGAGGCGGGCATGGGAGGAGGAGACCAGGGAACTAGAGAGAAGGAGGTCTTGTGAGGAGCGGAGTGTGCGTGCTGGGTGGTACTTGGATATTAGGTCAGTGATGTAGTTCGGGGCAGTATGGTGGACAGCTTTGTACGTCAGCGTTAGGATTTTGAATTTGATCCGTTGCGCAATCGGAAGCCAGTGGAGGGATTGGCAGAGGGGGGTGGCGGAGATGGAGCGGTTGGAAAGGTGAATGAGTCTGGCAGCCGTATTCAGGATCGACTGAAGCGGGGATAGCCAGCGGCGAGGCAGGCCAGTGAGGAGGGAGTTGCAGTAGTCGAGTCGTGATATGATGTACATGCATTGCTGTGGTGCCATTCAGTGTGAATGGTGCCCCAATACATTGAAGCGATGCCCCTGCAGCATGCCACAGTACATGGCAACTCATGGTTGTTTGCAATTTCAAATTGTGTTGCAAAGTTTTGGTCACATGCAATTTTTTATTGCATTGACAGACTATTCATTTCAACAATATGCACATTATCGCATTACAAAAATGTATAAATGCCCTAATGCTTTCAGTACAGATAGGTTCACTTTAGAAAGAGCATATCAGAATTACAAGGTTGATGTCGAGGTCCTCCAAACTTAGGTTGCGTTTGCCAAACATTTTGGATGTGAGCAATTTTCCAGGAATTTGCTTCGGCCTTGTGGCCTCCTACTGCCTGGCTTCAACTTCATCGTCATATGAGGGAAACTGTGATAAAATAAACATGAAATATGAGCCCAAGAAAAGATGGGATGAGATCAGACAGCGAGGAATGGACATACCACATACTGTAACTGCCAGCTGCCTCTGACTTCCATGGATATGCTGTGCTTAGGAACTTTGTCTCTAGAAATTCTGTACTTGGAAGAAAAAATGAAAAGAAACTGAAAGAAAACCCCTAAATGTTTTTTGTTGTTCAAAAGAGTACAGACTTGATGGACCAATTGGTCTTTTTACGGTGTCACTATGTAATATTGCATTTTGGCCCTTATCATTCCCCACCCCAAGTTAAAGTACCCCACCCTCCCGAGATACTTACCTCCATCCTGCAGCCATGTCCTCCTGTATAGTCTACATCCTTCACACAAAAATGTTTCTGAGCTGGCTGTACCTACACATTGGTTCCCCATAGACTTCTAAATGGCTGTATGCTGAGGCCAGGGATAGTTGGGAAATAGTGCCATAGATGTCTATAGGGATCTTCAGCTCAGAGACTATTTTCCCCAAAGGAAGTAAACTCTGTGTGATGCTGTGGGATGAAAGTAAGTATGCATCTAGGCAGCAGGAGGGTTGGGTACTTTAAGTAGAGGGGCAAAAAGGATGAGTACCCTTTGTTTGAAAATGCACTTATCCTTTAAAGCCAAACTCCAGCTAAAACATTTTTATTTGCCCCAGATAGAGTTGGTAAGGATTAGCCATCTGTATTCCCAATAGCTTAGATTTCCATTTTACCATTTTACGTCCTGTCACGACGGAGAGTGATTGAAAGTCTCTCCAACAGGGAGACAAAAACACAACTTTCCCTGAATGTTATGTCCAGCTGCCTTGTATTATGTATCCAAATTCCCTGGGAAGGCCTCCCTTGTCAAAGACAACCAGAAGTCCTGAACCTCCAATACAGCCTTTCCCAACCTTTTAAACATGGAGGAACCCTTGAAATAACTATTTAGCTTCAGGGACCCCCTGCTAGTCTTTATTATGATTACAGCTCACAATACTTTAGTGTGATGGTCAGCGGGAAGAATGCTCCTTACATTTGTGGTCATTGGGAAGAATCCCCCCCTCCAGCCTTACAGATTGCAAAAAAAATATTGATGTCAGTGGATACTTATCTGAGAGGCAGAAATGGCTTATTGCTCAAGAAACCTCTAACGACCTCTGGAGGAACCCTAGGGTTCTATGCACCCCTGGTTGAGAAACCCTAATCCAATGGTTGTCACTATCTTGGATTTTATGGCTGTAGATGCAATAGGCTCAAAATTTTCAGTCCAATGATAATCTGCCTTGATCCTGTGCACATGCAGAATTACTGGTTTTGGTTATGTGCTTGAAAAAGTATAAAGGTTTACCTAACCAGTGAAAAAATATAAAATATTGATTATGATGTAATGTTACAACCATTTCAATTAGAGACTATGGTCTGGTGACAGGGGCCCTTTAACCTTATTCTATTCAGATGTACATTTTAATTCTCTGGTACCCAACCTAGGGCCCTTTAGTAATTTTTGTGTAGCCCATGGGGCCCCTGGCAGTCTCCTGTACTGTGACTGCAGTCTAAGACCTGCACTAGAAACTGGGTTGAGTGCAGTGGATCTCTTTTACCTTTCTATCCTATAGATATTGTTGGAAACTGGGGATATGCCTTAGAACAGGGGTCTCCAAACTATGGCCCTCCAGCTGTTGAAGTACTACAAGTCATCATGCCTCTTCACTCGGAGTCTTGCATTTGGCTGTCAGAGTCTTGCAAGGCCTCATGGGACTTGCAGTTCCTCAACACCCGGAGAGCCATAGTTTGGAGACCCCTGTTCTAAGGCATATCCCCAGTTTCCAACAATATCTATAGGATAGAAAGGTAAAAGAGATCCACTGCACTCAACCCAGTTTCTAGTGCAGGTAACGAGATGCACCAGTGCTCTGCTCATACAAACGCCCCTGTAGGCAAGGTTCAAACAGTTAAAGTTCAGCAAAAGTCTGCACAAAGCAGGATCTAATAATATATGAAGGCTTTATTGAGACAGAGGAGCTGATTTACTAAAACTGGAGAGTACAAAACCTGGGGCAGCTGTGCATGGTAGCCAATCAGCTTCTAACTTCAGCTTTTTCAGTTAAGCTTTGACAGAAATAACTGAAAGCTGATTAGTTTCTATTTAGAGTCAGATTTTTCACTCTCCAGTTTTAGTAAATCAACCTCATGGGGTTTTAATTGTGTTCACATGCTTACATGTTTTCAGCCTAGTGGCCTCAAGCTGACCGTAGATGGGTAGAATTACTGGGAAAAGAAGGTTTTGACGAAAGTTCATTCATTTTTCTAATCATTAATGGGGTCAAAATGACTTTATCTTTTGACCGAAGTGACAAGAATATTTGAAGGAGCAGAATGGAAATGTTTTCTCAAACAAACACATTTCTAATAGTGTATGTGGTTTTCATTCGGTAAAGTCCATTCGTTCCAAAATCAAATGTTAAAGGCAAACGAAATCTTTCAAACAACAAACTATTGTTCTGATAATTTTAGTAGAAAATTTCCAAAGATTTTTCCTAAGAATTTTCATTTGAAATTCTATCCACAATGGATTTGAAATTGAACTGAACATCCATCTACAGCCAGCTTTGGTCATAGCTATATCATAGACTAGTCATAGAGCTATGACTAAGGACACGAGGCTGAAACATGTCAGCGGGTCTGATTTATATGGATATTAACCCTATGCCTACATAAAGCCTTCATATTTTTATTAGATCCTGCCATGTGCCGACTTTTGCTGGACTTTAAATATCAATAGCATGATTTGTAGTCTCTGACCACCTCTTTTAGCAGGCCTTTGGTCTATGACCATCTCCTAGTTTTAAATGCAACCTTTTGGAAATGCTAAGAACCAGCTTTCAGCCCCCTATATCAAGAGCAGGGGCGGACTGACCATTTGGAAACTCGGGCACTGCCCGAGGGCCCGGGGTCAGTAGGTGGCCCCATGAGATGCCCCTGGTACCTTTTTTCATAGGCTTTTTTGAGTTTTGGCAAGGACAGGGGCCCCATGAGTTGTCAGTCCGCCCCTGATCAAGAGAGTTAACCACCACTGTTTTAATAGTAAATCACTACACTACCTCAAAGAGCTGAAAAGCTGCAATGTAATATATATTGTTTTTGGGTTTATATACCCTTTATTTATTTTAGGTACTTATATAGCATTTGTGCAGCTCTTTACACATATATATATTGTACATTCACATCAGTCTAACCCCTTTAAAGGGTGTACAATCTAAGGTCCCTAACTTACATTCATACATACACATACTAGGGACAATTTAGACAGGATCCAACTCACCTACCAGCATGTCTTTTGGAGTGTGGGAGGAAACCAGAGTACTCAGAGGAAACCCACACAGGCACAGGGAGAACATGCAAACTCCAGGCTGGTGGTGCCGTGGCTGAGATTCGAACCAACGACCCTAGTACTGCTAGGTGGAAGTGCTAACCATTTAGCCACTGTGCTGCCCTTTACAATACACCTTCCATAGACAAGACTTGTCAGTGCTGATCAGGGGTGGACTGACAACTCATGGGGCCCCCGGGCAATAGGGGATTATGGGGCCCCTGTGTCCTTGCCCAAACTCAAAAAAGCCTATGAAAAAGGTACCAGGGGCATCTCATGGGGCCCCCTACTGACCCTGGGCCCTCGGGCAGTGCCCGAGTTTCCAAATGGTCAGTCCACCCCTGGTGCTGATCTCCTCTCCTACGTTTCCCAGATTTCCTAGTTGACCTATGTACAGTACATATATCCTTAAGAACTATACAAAGAAATAAAATATTACTCAAAAAAAAATTAAACCCACACATTGACCTTTTTTTTACGGGATATCTTTTTGTATTTATTGTTATAGAAGGGAATGTCCATCAAATAACGGTTCAATGGAGTCCTCATATATCCTTTGTTTTTTCGTTTTTTTTTAGGGAATAACTGTGTTAACGCAAGATTACGAAATTCACGTAAGAGATTAATTTTTTGTCTACCTTCAATTGTCTTCTTGTAATCATTTTACATGTAGTAGATCAGCTCTGTTTTATTATTACAGTTGTAATAGATGATGTAAGTGATAAAATAATACATTACCTTAGACACCAGTTGCCCTCATTATAGAGAGAGAGCCTATCTTTCATGCAGGCCTGTCTTAAAGTATATGTGAACTTCTCTTATTTGCTTCTTTATGGTCTGTTAGATATGCTATTAAATTCTGCACTGAAAATTAATACCCTGCTTTCACTGCACACTGTGAACTTCTTAAAGTGCATTAAAAACTAAAATTAATAATAATTAAAAAAAAGTACAAGCACTTTGCATGGGAACATTTTTAAAGTTTTTAAAAATTTTGGTAAATTTTGCTGAAAGTATCACTTGAAAATGTTCTGTTGTTTTACAGTCTACTCATGTACAATAAAATCGTTTGTAAACAAAAAAAATTTTGGTAAAATGTTGCAAAACTGTAACTAAACAGGAAATATGGTGAAATCAGAAGAAACTCAACTCTTCCCTACCCAAGAACTCAAGCGCAGGGATCTCGCCAATAAAGTTACTATGAAATCTAAAACTTTGCTAGGTGGTGTAACCTTCAATGACAATTGAATTATTTTCAGATTTAGGTGAATAAACCCTTCAAGACTTCAGCAAAATTCAGTAAAATTTTGGGATGTGTCTCTAGCACATTACATCTGCATTACATGAAGACACAAGCACGCCATACACAAAATCCCATACCTGCTCTCCTGGCCTTCCCCTGATTACAAAAGCAGGTCTCCCTGTTCTGTGATATCTGTACCCTCCTTTTCCCAGTGGCACATAGGTTGGGTCATGTTTAAGTGTGCCACTGAGTGAACAGAGGCTAATCCATTTATCCACTGTTACGTCCCGCAAGCTCCAAATCTCCTATACTTACAGATCTGCTTAGACTGTCGAAAAAACAAATATAGACAAATGCCATGGAAAGGGACCCTGAGGCTTAGCCTTTATTTAGAGGATGCCAACTTCATTACTTAAACAAATGTTTTCCTGATATATAGGTTGTTATTCGCTGGTCAAATGTAAAAAAAAAAAAAATCAGAGTATAGCATCAAGTCAATGAAACTCCTGGGATATTGATCTGGTCAGTTAAGTCACAGAGGGGATTGTTAATCAGTTTCAGCTGCTTTGGTGTTATTGAAATTAACAACAGGTGCAGTAGATGGGCAGCAATGAGACGACCCCCAAAATAGGAATGGTTATACAAGTGGAGGCCACTGACATTTTTTTCCCTACTGATCTTTTCTGACTGTTTTACACTAGTTTTGTATTTGGCTAGGGTCAGTGTCACTGCTGGTAGCATGAGGCCATACCTGGACCCTACAGAGGTTGCACATGCAGTCCAACTCCTCCAGGATGGCACATCAATACGTGCCATTGCCAGAAAGTTTGCTGTGTCTCCCAGCACAGTCTCAGGAGCATGGAGGAGATTCCAGGAGACAGGCAGTTACTCTAGGAGAGCTGGACAGGGCCGTAGAAGGTCCTTAACCCATCAGCAGGACTGGTATCTGCTCCTTTGTGCAAGGAGGAACAGGACGAGCACTGCCAGAGCCCTACAAAATTACCTCCAGCAGGACACTGGTGTGAATGTCTCTGACCAAACAATCAGAAACAGGCTTCATGAGGGTGGCCTGAGGGCCCAACATCCTCTAGTGGGCTCTGTGCTCACTGCCCGGCACCATAGAGCTTGATTGCCATTTGCCATTGAACCCCAGAATTGGCAGGTCCACCACTGGCACCCTGTGCTTTTCACAGATGATAGCAGATTCACCCTGAGCACATGTGACAGATGTGAAAAGGTCTGGAGAAGCCATGGAGAATGTTATGCTGTCTGTAACATCGTTCAGCATGACCGTTTTGGTGGTGGGTCAGTGATGGTCTGGGGAGGCATATCCATGGAGGGACGCACAGACCTCTACAGGCTAGACAATGACACCCTGACTTTCATTAGGTATCAGGATGAAGTCCTTGGACCCGTTGTCATACCCTACGCTGGTGCAGTGGGTCCTGGGTTCCTCCTGGTGCATGACAATACCCGGCCTCATGTGACGAGAGTATGCAGGCACTTCCTGGAGGACGAAGGAATTGATACCATTGAATGGCCCACACGTTCTTCTGACCTAAATCTAATAGAACACCTCTGGGATATCATGTTTCGGGCCATCCGACGCTGCCAGGTTGCACCTGTGCCATTAGTACAGTGTCAGTGCTTTTTATTAGCACTGATCACTGTATTTGTGTCATTGAGATGTCACAGACACCAAGTTATTCCCCCCAGTGTCAGAATGGATGCTGCAGTCCTGCTATAAGTCGTTGATTGCCACCATTACTAGTTGAAAAAAAAAAATTCCAGTATCTATACCACCATTTGTAAACACTATAACTATCACGTAAACCAATTAATTTACACATATTGGGATTTTTTTTTAGCAAAGACATGTACCAGAATACATTTTGGCCGAAATTTATGACGATTTTAAAAAAAAATTGCTCAAAATCGTCGATCTTTTTTTGTTTATAGCACAAAAAATAATAAGCGCACAGGCGTTCAAATACCACCAAAATAAAGCTCTATTTGTGGGAAAAAAGGACATGTGGGTGCAGTGTTGCATGACTGTGCAATTGTCAGTTAAAATAACGCAGCAACGTAACTGGAAACATGGCTTGGTTAGGAAGGGGGGTAAATCATCTGGAGGGCAAGTGGTTAAGGTGGACACCAGTATGAAAACATTCTTGGATAATGTTGACATCGGGGGATGTATGGATGAGGATGTGCATTACATGCAGCCGAGAGGCCTTCTAATGTGAGGTTCAAAAGTCAGTGCTCTTAACTCCCCAGGGCTGCCTCTGCAGCTGGCTGGGGTTGGTTGTCAACTCTACAGAATCCTATGGAGAGTTCCCGACAACTGGTCAGCTGTAAAGTGGAACAAGGGGGCAAATAAATGACAAATTTGGTGTTATCGCTCTCACTCTCTCCTTCTGGTCACTGGAAGTTCAACATGGCACCTCATGGCAAAGAACTCTCTGAGGATCTGAAAAAAATAATTATTGCTCTACATAAAGATGGCCTAGGCTATAAGAAGATTGCCAAGACCCTGAAACTGAGCTGCAGCCCAGTGGGCCAAGACCATATAGCGGTTTAACAGGATAGGTTCCACTCAGAAAAGGCCTCACCATAGATAACCAAAGAAGTCGAGTGCATGTGCACAGCGTCATATTCAGAGGTGGTCTTTGGGAAATAGACGTATGAGTGTTGCCAGCATTTCTGCAGAGGTTGAAGGGGTAGGGGGTCAGCCTGTCAGTGCGCAGACCATACGCCACACACTGCATCAAATTGGTCTGCATGGCTGTCGTCCCAGAAGGAAGCCTCTTCTAAAGATGATGCACAAGAAAGCCTGCAAACCGTTTGCTGAAGACAAGCAGACTAAGGACATGGATTACTGGAACCATGTCCTGTGGTCTGATGACACCAAGATAAACTGATTTGGTTCAGATGGTGTCAAGCGTGTGTGGCGGCAACCAGGTGAGGAGTACAAAGACAAGTGTGTCTTGCCTACAGTCAAGTATGGTGGTGGGAGTGTCATGGTCTGGGGCTGCATGAGTGCTGCCGGCACTGGGGAGCTACAGTTCATTGAGGGAACCATGAATGCCAACATGTACTGTGACATACTGAAGCAGCGCATGATCCCCTCCCTTCGGAGACTGAGCCGCAGGGCAGTATTCCAACATGATAATGACCCCAAACACACCTCCAAGATGACCACTGACTTGCTAAAGAAGCTGAGGGTAAAGGTGAAGGACTGGCCAAGCGTGTCTCCAGACCTAAACCCTATTAAGCATCTGTGGGGCATCCTCAAATGGAAGGTGGAGGAGCGCAAGGTCTCTAACATCCACCAGCTCCGTGATGTCGACATGGAGGAGTGGAAGAGGACTCCAGTGCCAACCTGTGAAGCTCTGATGAACTCCATTCCCAAGAGGGTTAAGGCAGTGCTGGAAAATAGTGGTGGCCACACAAAATATTGACACTTTGGGCCCAATTTGGACCTTGTCACTTAGGGGTGGACTCACTTTTGTTGCCAGCGGTTTAGACATTAATGGCTGTGTGTTGAGTTATTTTGAGGGGACAGCAAATTTACACTGTTATACAAGCTGTACACTGACTACGTCACATTGTAGCAAAGTGTCATTTCTTCAGTGCTGTCACATGAAAAGATAGAATCAAATATTTACAAAAATGTGAGGGGTGTACTCACTTCTGTGAGATACTGTGTATATATACCTGTACATGGTATATACAGAATATATATTGATTGGTTGTCAGCTCCATGGAAGCCTATAGGGATTTCTTGACAATTGACCACCAGCAAAGTGAAAATGGAGTGCAGAAGGGAAAAGGGTGATGAGAGATGAACTCTACAGCTGGAGATCTCTGCCCAGTAGTAGACATCATTACACCTTCTTTACTCCAGTTTAGAGATCATCCATTCAAATTATGTCTTAGACTTTTGTTTCAGTCATCAAGTCAGCATAAAATGAGATGAGGATTGGTCCACAGTCTGCCTTCCTCCTCCAATCAACCTCTAGAGCAAATCATACCGCTCTAATGCTGTGTGTTTATGTACACTCACTGGCCACTTTATTAGGTACACCTTGCTAGTGCCAAGAAAATCTCCCCCACATCATTACACCACCAACAGTAGCCTGAACCATTGATACAAGGCAGGATGGATCCATGCTTTCATGTTATTTACTAAAAATTCTGATCCTACCATCTGAATGTCACAGCAACCAGTCTGCCCATTCTCCTCTGACCTCTGACATCAACAAGCATTTTCGTCCACACAACTGCCACTCACTGGATGTTTTCTCTTTTTTAGAGCATTCTCTGTACACCCTAGAGATGGTTGTGCATGAAAATCCCAGTAGATCAGCA